AACCTCAGCCACTTAAGATGGTGGACTTCAACTCCCAGGATTCCCCACCCAACATGGGGAAAAAATAACCTCAGCCACTTAAGATGGTGGACTTCAACTCCCAGAATTCCCCACCCAACATGGGAAAGAAACAACGTCAGCAACATAAGATGGTGGACTTCAACTCCCAGGATTCCCCACCCAACATGGGAAAAAAGCAACCTCAGCCACTTAAGATGGTGGAATTCAACTCCCAGGATTCCCCAGCCAACATGGGAAAAAAGCAACCTCAGCCACCTAAGATGGTGGACTTCAACTCCCAGGATTCCCCAGCCAGCATGAGGGACAGCAACCTCAGTCACTTAAGATGGTGGACTTCAACTCCCAGGATTCTATGCTGGCTAGGGATTTCTGGGAGTTGGAGTCCACTCATCTTAAATGTCCAAGCTTGGCCTCTTTAAAATGTGTGGACTTCAACTTTAATACACATTAAAAAGGAGACAGAGCCTCAGTCGCGACTCCTATCCTGACTTTTTTGACCTTGTAAGGGGCTGCGCAAAGTTTGATTCGAGAACATGACAAATTCTCCAACGTGAAGCAGCCAAACGGTTCCCTTTCCCCAGAAGTCCTCTCGGCCACTTTCTACCTTTCTCTTCATCCTCTGATGCCTTCTTAGCAGTCTTCTCTTCTTTTTTCTCCTCCTTCTCTTCTTTCTGCTGGGTGGGAGGGATGAAACGAAGGGAAGGGAAGAAATGGAGGAAGGGGGGAGGGCGGGAAGGAAGGAATGGAAGGGAGGCAGAGAAGGAAAGAAGGAAGGAAGAAATGGAGGGGAGGGAGCGAGAGAGAAGGGAAGTAGGGGGAGGGAGGGAAAGAAAGAAGGAAAGAGGGAGGGATGAAAGGAGGGAGGGAAGAAATGAAAGAAGGGAAGAGAAGGAGGCAGGGAAGGCAGGAGGAAGGGAAGGCAAGGAAGGAGAGGAGAGGGAAAAAATGAAGGAAGAGAAGGGAAGTAGGGAGGGATGGAAGTAGAGAAGGAAAGAGGGAGGCAAGGAAGGAAGGAGAGGAGGGAGGGAAAAATGAAGGGAAGAAGGGAGGGATCGAAGTAGAGAAGGAAGGGAAGAGGGAGGGAGGGAATGAAGGAAGGAGACAATGAGGGAGAGGAAAAGGAAATGCAGAAAAATTCTGGCCAGCTAAAATAAGTAACATTTAACCTAACGGACAAATGAAATATCTCCAGCCCTACCCAAGCAGCTTGATTTCACATGAATATCATAGCTGGTCGTAAGTACCTACAAAAATATCCGTCTTCCTCCTTTTTTTATCCTGGTTCTCCAAAATATAGGTAGTCCTTAACTTACTACCATTCATTTAGTGATCGTTCAATCGGTTCTCATACCTATGACCAAGGCAGCATCAAACACGATCAAACTTTGGAGGCTTGGCAACTGGGCTGGCATGCATTCATGGCGGTTGTGGCATCCCGGGGGGTCACGTCAACCCCTTTGAGACCTTCCCGGATGGCTTCCGACAAGCCAAGTCAACGGGGAAGCTGGATTCACTTAACGACTGCATGATTCATTTAACAATTACAGCAATTCACTTAACAGCGGCGGCATGAAAAGTGAGTAAAATGAGGCCAAGCTCCCTTAAGAAGTGTTTCATTTAGCAACATAAATTTGGTTTCAATTAAGGTTGTAAGTCAAGGACTGCCTCTATTTACCCTGTGAAAATTAATTTATAAGCCTGCTAGAAATTAAAATGCCTTTTGTCACGCTCAAAAGAACTGACATGGCAAAATTAGGGTGTGGAAGACTTAGGACACCCCACAGCCGTTTCCCAACAGAGCAGGTTGGATTAAAAAAAACCCAAGCGTTACTTAACCATAAAAATGTGCCAAGAAATTCTCTTTATCCCTCTGGCCAGAGGAGAAGGTAGAAATTAAATCAGGGTGGAATCGTAACAGGATCGACTGCTTTTCTTCAGCTGGTTGACTTCCAGTTGGGAAAATAAGGAAAAGTTTTGCCTTTTTTTGCAACTTTGGCTGGGTCTCCTGGGGAGGGGGAGAAAAAGGATAGATCCACCTTCCCTGCGGGGATCTCCTGAGGGGATCTGGGATAAGAATCAGCCTTTTGTTCAAGGACACAAATGATTTAAGGTTTTAGAATCAGTTGATTTTTCTCTGGATGTGAATGTCTTCTAGGCCAGGATGAAGACACTTTAAAACTGTGTTTCAAGATGGATGGACATTAACTCCCAGAATTCTCCAGTCAGCATGCTTTAAGATGGATGAACTTCACCTCCCAGAATTCCCCAGTCAGCATGCTTTAAGATGGATGAACTTCACCTCCCAGAATTCCTCACCCAGCATGCTTTAAGATGGATGGACTTCATCTCCCAGAATTCCCCAGTCAGCATGCTTTAAGATGGATGGACTTCATCTCCCAGAATTCCTCAGTCAGCATGCTTTAAGATGGATGGACTTCATCTCCCAGAATTCCTCAGTCAGCATGCTTTAAGATGGATGAACTACAACTCCCAAAATTCCCTAGTCAGCATGCTTTAAGATGGATGGACTTCAGATCCCAGAATTCCTCAGTCAACATGCTTTAAGATGAACTACAATTCCAGAATTCTCCAGTCAACATGCTTCAACATGGATTTCAACTCCCAGAACTTCCCAGTCAGCCATGCTTTAAAGATGCATGGACTTGTAATTCCCAGAATGCTCCAGTCAACATGCCTTAAGATGCAATTCCCAGAATTCCCTAGCCCAGCAGGCTTTAAAGATGAGTGGACCTCAACTCCCAGAATTCCTCAGGGAATATGCTTTAAAATGCATAGACTTCAACTCCCAGAATTCCTCACCCAGCATGCTTTAAGATGTGTGGACTTCAACTCCCAGAATTCCCCAGCCAGCAAGCTTTAAGATGAACTTGAACTCCCAGAATTCGGCTATGATGAATTTGGCTATGCTGGCTAGGGAATTCTGGGAGTTGAAATCCAAAGTTCACTCCTCTTTAGACAAACAACTACACGCCTGCTAACAGGCTTGCCAAAATAACCATTTCAAACCTCGTAAAGGACTTTTTGGCAAACTTAACAGTCAAACAAAGCAGGATTGCTGATAACTCATCTGGTTTGTTGAGCAATTCAAATTAGCAAGATTTACCAGAAAGGATTGTTGTAAAAGAGAAGCCACGTTTTTACAAACCAAAAATGTCCGCAGACACTGGGGCTTCGCGGCCTTCCACGCAATTGTGTGTTCTTGCTTACCTCCCGCTGTTTGCGACGTTCCTCGTCCTTTTTGGGATCCGGCACGGGGATATCTAATTCGGCACGAAGCGAAAGCAGGTCTGCCACATTCAATTCAGGGGCCTACAAAGAGACAACAGAGATATTTTGCTCCCTGTTTGATGTTCTGAGCATCATCTCCTCGTTTGAGCGCGAAAGTGATTCAAACTCGCACCCGGCTCAGTTTCCCGACCCTGAAGAATGTTTCAGAATAAAGCAAATTAGGAAGACTCAATGGTGTAAAACATAGTCCTCAAATTATGACCGCAAATAGGAGAACATCCATTGCTAAACAAAGCAGTTACTGAGTCACACCCAATTTTATGACCATTCGGTAAGCCTAGTTGTTAAGTGAATTCAGCTTCCCCCATTGCCTTGTCAGAAGCCGGCCAGGAAGGTCGCAAAATCTGATCACACAACCCCACAACACTGCGACCATCACAAATAGGGGACAGTTGCCAAGTGCCCAAAATTTTAATGACCTGACTGTGGGGATACTGCAACGGTCATAAGTTTGAGGACTGGCCGTAAGTTCCTTTTTTTTAGCACCATTGTAATTCTGAATAGGCACTATAGGGATGGTCATAACTTGAGGACTGTGTCAGGATTCCTATATTTTTGTCATCAGAATAAATGTTAGAATTTAATTTTGAAAATTTGGAATTGCTAAGCCATTCATCCTCCAAAGCTAATAATTGCTGTTTCATCTACAGGTAGTCCTCAGGTTACGACCACAATTTCTGTTGTTAAGTGAAACATTTGCTCAGTGAGTTTTTTCCTGTTTCACCACGGTTAAGTGAATTGTTGCAGTTGTTGAGGACTACCTATATTCTTAGGTCAATTCTATCGCTAGTGAAGCTCATCCATTATTTTAGCAACTGAATCAGACAATTATCCCAAAACAACAAATGAGATCGTTTTTCACACTTATGACGGAGGCAGCCTTCCCGTGGTTACGTAATTGAAATTCAGATGCTCGGCAACCGACACTTATGAAGGTTGTGTTGTGTGATCCCCTTTTGCGACCGTCTGACAAGCAAAGTCTATAAAGCCGGGTTCACTTAACAACCATGTGGCTAACAACTGCAGTGATTCACTTAAAAATGGCAGGAAGAAAGGTCATAAAATGAAGCAAAGCTCACAACAAACGTGTGGTTTAGCAACAGATATTTTGGGCTTGATTGTGGTCATAACTCAAGGACTAAATGTATGGCTTGGTTCTATATTTTGAGTAGTGTTTTTTTGCAAACAATTCTATTCTCAACCCTTTTCTACGACTCGATTATTCATTTCTTTTTATCTTTTTAATTTTCATTTGTAAATCCGCCCGAAGGCTGCCTTACCTTCAGAAAATTACTGAGTTCTACAACTTTCTCAGGAAATCTTTTGGCAACAAGTTCTTCAGCCTAAAGGAGAGGAAGAAAAAAAATATTAAAAGTTGGAATGCATTTAAAAATATCTGTCGATGAAAAGAAGAAATAAGAATATTTTTGGGACCGCCCAACGCAGCCTTTTCCAAATTAAATAAAAAAACATTTCACATGAAAAGAAATTCAAAATATTTCACGTGAAATGAAATGAAAAACATTTCATATTAAATGAAGTGAAAAACGTTTTACATCAATGTAAAAACATTTACATGAAACAAATATCATTTACATGAAATGAAATGAAAAACATTTTACAGTAAATGAAATTCAAAACATTTTACATTAAATGAAATAAAACATATTTTACAGTAAATAAAATCAAAAACTTTTTATAATTACAATATTTTATGGGACTAAAAAGTTTGGAACCAATAATCAACACTTGCAGCCATCTTTAAATATTAATATGGTTTTGTTGCAGTCAGCCAGATGTTCAGAAATAACAATAATAATAAAACTATTATTATTATTATTGGTGAAATAGAATTTCCAATATTCCTGAATGGCGTGGACCGTGGGCTATTTATTTTCTTGAACATTGAATAAATATTTTCTTTATTCATTCAATTTCTACATGCTCTATATTTGCTGGGGACGTCATGGGAGGATGCAACAAGATGGAGGAGAGGAATTGAAGACCTATTATTCGCGGCCCCCCCCCCAAATCTTTTGGCGGGGTTGGGCGGGTTTGAAACTGTACCCCAATTTTCTCACCTGGACGCAAAGGTTCTCCTTGAAGGAGTTCACCTGGGGAAGAGAAAGAGAAACAAGGATTGGGAAAGAAAGGGGAAAACTTGGAAGCTGCACAAAAGGAGCCCGGGCGCCTAGCCAGACGCTGGGATACCCGATCCTGCCCTACACCTGTTGGACTTCTCGCTCGGCCGGCCGTTTGACAGGAGATGGGAAGGGGTGCCAAGGCAGCCCCCTCCCTGCCTGCCTGAATGCTTCTGAACCCTGGTGCCTTGGTCTGATTCGTTAAGCCCCATCCAACCCCCCTACAACAATCCAACAGGTGAAGCTGTTCTCTCCGCTGCTCTTCCCCCAAACACCCCTCCTGCCCTGCCAAAAAGAGTCTCCCTCTGCTTCTGATTTCTTTGCCCACCCCCCGCCCTTCTAGCAGGTTGCTGAGAATAATTCAA